GGAGTGGGTGGAGAATCATTTGAACTGTCACTGGGTGTGGCTGCCTGTTTATTTTACAATAACTTTACATAGTGTTGTGGCATGATCTTAATCGAAAGCCTTCACTTTGGGATTGAGTCATGTGTCTTTCAGTTGTGAAACTTAATCTAGTCAGAACCGAGGGAGCAGTTCAAGGCTTTGATTCCCATAAATTTGACATTTTGGAATAATTGAATCACTATAGTTTGCACACATTATGGGTAGGGCAAGTAGGTAAGAGGGGAATTGCTGTCGACTAGTTAATGAAATATGATGCACATTAGCTAGGTTAGTCAAATGTGGCACCATTAAAGCAGTGTTTATTGCTGCTTCATTGTGTTTCAGAAAGCTTTAAGTACTGTTTATAAAGGGAGTGCTGGGTCTTTATTACTGTAGTTGTGTTTATTTCAACTCAAATCATTAAAGATATCTGGCATATTGAATGATGTTACTTTATTTTTAAAAAACATTGTGTTTTCATTGCTGGAACAGTGGGAGAAGAATTTTAGAGATGGATATCTGTTTTGTTTTACATTTCTATTGCGTTTGTTATCAGATCTAGTATGTGACGCTTCTGGCGCTAAAGTGGAGAATACCATTTCCTGTGTCATAAAATTTTAGTTTAACATTCAAAGTACAAAGAGCAGTGTCGATCTGGCAACTATTGCATTGCACAGATCACGACAAAATGCTGCTGGATTTTTCAGCAGCAGCGTTTGTTATCATTGTCATTGATGAATGCTATTAAGTAGTGCAATTAATAGTAATGTGTCGTTGTCAGATCTTCCTGACTGACAGTCCTTGGATGTGTGTAAGAGTTGCCTAATTCTGTTTTTATCTGTGGTATTGTAAATTCAGGACGAGGGTTAGTTTGTCTTCAGTTTGAATGAACCGGAAGGAAAGTATGTTTTTTACCATTGAAAGGACTCAGCAGAATTTGGCACAGAGATTACTTTTTTTAAATAAAAACTCCTTTGAGAAGTTTGACTGTTGTTCACTTGATGCATGCCATATGCAATGAAACATTTGATTATGCATTTTGCGTGCGCTGAGGATTATATTGCAAACTGTTGAGATATTTCCAGTAGTTAAATGATCAATGTTGTGGTTTACGGAGAGAAAAATATTGATTGAAGTGTGCTTCACTCGTTGGTAGTCTTATGGATTTTTGGGAAAAAAATAAAAAAAATCCCAAGGTGTCTTCTGGATAGTACTCAGTAGAAAACCTGTGCATTTTAGACATTGTAAGAGGCGTTTCAGACTCTGATGTTTACTGAAGGCTACCTCGTTCGAGTACCATGAAGAAGTGGCAAGTCACATGAAACAATAGAGCTTAAAGGGACACTGTCTTCATAAAAAAGAAGAGGGAAAGAAGACCGAAAGTGCAGTCAAAGAGGTAGGCCTGAGACGGACCTTAGGAACTTGGGGAAACTAAATGTGAAATCGGACAATGAGTTGTCTGGGAAAATTGACCATTTGGTGAAAAAAATTGTGTTCATATTTAATTTTTTGTTTTTGGTCAGCCAGGTGTTTGACACACGTGGAAACCCATCAGCACGCTTAATCTTATCCAAATCAAACTGAGAGTTCTATGCATCCCACTTATACATGGAAATTCCAGAGATATCTAATCCATATTTAATACGAGCCAAAGAACTTTTTATAATCAAATACATGATTTGTCTTCATGAATGTCAAGCCTATTTAACAAGATGATATAAGTTCGACTGATTCATGCTAATTGCTAAAGAAAATTGATGAAACCAAGGCAAGTCGAGATGCTTGATTTGAGTGGCTCTTCAGAAGGCGAACTCCAGCATTACAGGGGATGTGTACAGGGGAGGCTGACTTAACGACTTACTGCATCGGGTTAAGTATCTCTGCTCCAGTGAGTTATGTGGTCATTTTCAAAATAAATGTGTTGGAACAGTCTTTTGGGGATTTTTTTTAATCCACATTTTGACAATAATGCTTTAACTTTAACAGCAGCTTAAAGGATCATTTTGTGATGTCAAGGAGAAAATGTTTGGCAACTAATGCTTTGCTTGAGAAACGGGAAGCTTTATGGTTGCGTGTTGCACTTTGTAAGATTTTAAATCCTGGTGTAAGCAAGGCAAGGAGAAGTTTGTCAAATTCTTTTTGTATAGTGATGGCGGCCTCTTTAAGAGGAGCTATGTGTATCACAATTGTACTGAATGAGATGAAGCTGAATGTTTGGACATTCTGCAGCTTTATGACTGTTCAGATTAAGTTTATTGATGGAAGTGAATTTTATAATGCAAAGATGAACATGGCATAAAACTCCCTCTAAGATTGGAAGCTTAGGGATTTGATGCCAGAAAAGATCATTGGTTTCATCGTTTTCAACCAGATTATCACAATAAAATGGTCTGATTCAGAGCATAGTTATTCACTCTATAACTATGCTCTGAATAGAGCAGCAGGCTACTTGTTAACGCCCATTTAACTAGGCAGCTGTCTCCGCAGAAGAAAATTAATAATGTTAATTAATAATCTGGGAAAAATATTTCTTCAAATGCAGCTGAAATTCTGTTTGTGCTAATCTGAAAGTGATGGATTCCTTTTTAAAATGTGAACTTTAGCAGTGAATAATAATATCCTCTAATAATCCTTAAATTGGTATAGTGCTTTTCACATCAGAACATCTCAAAGCGCTTCCCAGGGGATTCTGTAAAGTGAAGTGACTGAGTCTTGTCAGCAGTAATCCAAAAACTGAATCTCTGTATTTAAGTTATGATCTGGTTTGGATTTGGACAAGGTGCCCACGCCTAGCATGATTAGCTGACAAGTACACAGTCACTACACTTGACAGGAAAATCCAGTGAAGCGCTTTGAGACATCTCTACCACTTGTGTCCTACATTGCCGAAGCTTCATGTTGCATAACCTGACGGATTAGCGGCTGTTTAATGAGTAAAGCATTGAGGTACTGTGGGAAATAACACTGGAAAGTCCATACTCGGATCTGCTTATTTTCAGATAATTCCTTCAGGCTTTGGGAGATGTACAATTCGCACATTATGCCTTTCTCTTTTCAAACTCCTTCCTCCCCCACTATTGCTATTTTACTCAAAGTTTGCTGATTAAAATATTTCCTTTAATTAATCTTTTTAGGCCTGATGGGTTCCTTTTACTGAATGCAGTTCACATCAGGCAGTCTAAAAAGAAGAGAAAAATGTTGTATGAAAAAAACAGTTTAAACAAGATAAAAGGAATCTTTGTTTTCAATGTTTTGTGCTCTGATTATGTATTTCTTGTGTCAATGGGAGTGATGGACTGTTTCAGGTAAATCTCCATCACCCCTCTGCCAACAATGATCTGTTAATAATAATAATAATCCTTGCATTTGATATAGCGCTTTTCACGTCGGGAGGACGTCCCAAAGCGCTCCACAGAACACACTGTAAAGTGAATTGACTGTATATTTGTGGACGAACGCGGCAGCCAATTGCGCACAGCAATGTCCCACAAACAGTCGTAGATTGAAAATGACCAATTTATTATTGTTTTTGGTTTTGGAGGGATTATTATTAGGCGTGTGGAGTAAGGAAACTTGCCCAAGGTTTCGCCCTCTGCCTGGAATTGAACTCGGGTCTCTCGCTTGCAAAGCGAGTGCTCTAACCATTGAGCTACAGGACTGTTGGTTGAGTTTTTGTTGAAATTGGAATTGTTTTTATTTAAAATGCCCCATTAGTGTTTAAAGGGTTAATGAACTCCCTTGAATTTTAAGCATTGAATAAATATTAAATTAATATACTAATTAGTTTTGTTCTTGAGACAAATTCTCATTCTGGTTTATTATCTGAAGTTTGTTTTCCCCTTGCATGAAAACTTTCTTGTATTAGTTTACCACAGGTTTCAAATGACCTGTAACCTGAATCACATTCCTCCTCATCCAAAGCACATTACAGGGCTTCATCAAGCTGCATTCTGAAAGCTCAACAGGCTAAAATTCAGGAATATTAATTCTGATTGCAGTCGGAGTTTCTGTTTTGATTTTCAAACCATTTAAAGATGAAATCTGTATCAGATGTTTAGTACTGTTCAATTATTGTTAAAGGTACAGGACAGTCAGTGAATGGTACAGTTTGTTGAAACAGCACTATTTGATTTGATAATAATAATAATCCTTACATTTGATGTAGCGTGATCTGTTTGTTTATTGAACAATGGAATTCATTTGTGTCCAACAGCTCTGTGATAGTAAGAGTATATCACTATCTCTGATTTTAAGTAATTCTACTTTGGAAACACAGTAGTATTTTGACCTCACTGTAATTTTGCCACGTGTAGATCAATCCATGTTTGTACGAGTGAACAGTTACATTTCCTGAAACTTCAGTTTTACTTTGGTGTGAGGTTGTACTGCAGACTTCAAAAGTCTCAACAGTTTTGTAGCACCCCAATGTATCTTAAGGGACTTAAAAATGCTTGGAATCAGGATCACTGATGAATTTTTTCACATTTAATATACAGCACAAGAGAGCATAGCATTGTTCTGTTACCAAGAAGAGACTGATATAGTGTTTTGGATAAGTGTTCAGCTGTAATTAGCAATCTATACCTTTTGTCTTCTATATACTTTAAAAAGAGTAGATTTTCCAATTCTGTTTCATTATTTTGTCATTTACGATAATCTTTAAATAATTCTGAGTACCCAGAGCTGAAATGAGGTGCACTCTATCTCACTTCAACAGGCTTCCATATCAGTGACAACGCATTACCATCCCAGCTTGATTCAGACTGAGGTGAATGTTCGTTGCTGTGTTTATCTAGAACCATTTTTTAATATGCTCTGTGTAATTAGCCACATCAACTGAGGAGACTTACCTCTTGGAGTTCAGATTTCTGGCACACTGATGCCACAGTGTCGAGACTTTCACTGTAATTGCTGTCAAATGTAAATCATTATCTGTAAACCATATGATTAATCCAATTAAATTTCCTTTTCTTTTCCTGCAGAGTGCCAGGACGTGAGGCTTTGAAATAGAGTGAATTCGCTGGTTGTCAAATCAAGGGGGAGCCTCATCAGTTGGGGGAAAAAAAAGGTCTGCAAGAAATTCGGCAAGATATGCCGAGTACCGCCACAATGTGCTGAGGGAGAGGAAGACAAGAGAGTCATTCATCCCAGTACGGGTTCTGAAAGCATGCCAGTCACTGACCTGTGAGTAGATACAGTGGAGCGCAGAGTGACTTGACCAGCTGAAAATGCGGCCATGGACTGGTTCCTGGCGATGGATTATGCTGATCCTTCTTGCCTGGGGGACTTTATTATTCTATATAGGTGGGCATTTAGTTCGAGACAATGACCAGCCAGATCGTTCCAGCAAAGAACTGTCAAAGATACTTGCAAAACTCGAGCGCTTGAAACAGCAGAATGAAGACCTGCGGAGAATGGCGGAGTCGCTGAGGTAAGCTTAAAGACTCGTTATAGTTAGGTTGCAGGTTCCCTAGCGCTTCGTTGACTTGTGTGAAAGAGCTCTGCAACAAAAACTGTCAATGTGTTGCAAACGTCTAGCAAAAAACAACTCTCTTCAATGGGAAATAGGATACAGTCAGTTTGTTTCACAATTATGTTCATTGATACATTTGAGAACAGGAAAATTCTTCTCTCCTGAGGGACACTCAGTGACACTGAGTGTGAATTGAACAGACAATGTAACCATTAACATGAACAAATGTCTTCACTAATTGTACCAAATGTATACTTGGTGAATGTCATTTGTCTATGGGGAAACCAATTTAAAAATTACATTAACCAGCCGCAAAGAAACTGACTGAGCCAGTATATTTGAACTTGAGATAATTGGACTGCTCCAATGACTTGAAACAGATGAGTAAGTAAAGATGGCAGAACTATGCAAAGGAATGATTACTCTGACTTCTTTGATGTTTCACATATACCAGGATTACAATAATACAACATAGCATGCCACAATACAATGCATTTATGATACCAGATTACAAAAATACAGGATGATGCCACAATCACAAATCAATTATGTTATTCCGCAAGTGGTTAATTGCTAGATTTCTGGAAGATGAAATCAGTATTTCAGGGCTGCTTTGTTGAAATTTACCAGGTCGTAAATATCAGTTAATGTAAATCTAGAGACTTAAGCAATCTCTTCTTGGCAATTTATTGCAACTTCAATGAAACCATTTGAAAATGGTACTAAGCCTCTCAAAAACCAGTTTAATTTTTATTTCATTAAAGGCTACCATTGTTATTCACAAGCTGAGTTATTTGAAAAAAGAGAGATTTAATTATAATGGAAAATGTTTGTCAAATACGTTCTTCCCATCTATCTTGCAATTCAATTTAATTCTTAAGTCTGAATATTATTAGTGAACTTAGACTGAAGGCACTTAAAAGGGACTATAAATGTACCATATGGAAGCTGGGCTGTGGAACAGTAATGGGGAATTGCAAATAATATATGCTGCAAACAGATGATGGAGAAGAAGGGATAAACACATTGAAGTATTCTACAAGCCAGTAACCTCCTTTGTTCACCACCAAAACTGGAAAGTCCTGTAGCTCAATGGTTAGAGCACTCGCCTTGCAAGCGAGATACCTGGATTCAATTCCAGGCACAGGGCGAAACCTTGGGCAAGTTTCCTTACTCTACACCCACCTAATAATAATCCCTCCAAAAAAAACCAAAATAAATTGGTCATTCTCAATCCACGACTGTTTGTGGGACACTGCTGTGCACAATTGGTTGCCGCATTTCGCCGACACATGTATGGTCAATTCACTTTACAGTCTATTCTGTGAAGTGCTTTGAGACATCTAGAAGACTTGAAAAGCGTTATATCAAATGCAAGGATTATTATTATTAAATTATTATAAATACCTTGCCTTGGCCAGTTGTAAAGAGTTTGTTTTCTACCATTGCCAGAAGTTAGCAGCTTGCAGTTTATTGAGCGTTGACCTTTTAAGCCTTTTTCCATTGGGAGACTTTGGATTAGCTTTGAGAGAGAGAGAAAGAGAGAGCACAATGTGGACTTGAGCCTGTGGAAGACTGTTTGTATTGTGAATTCTACATTGTGTGTATTTATCATAAAAACTGAATGGTGGATGTTTCTATTGTCCCTTCCTTGTCCATGTATTGCCTCTTCTGATTTTGGAGTGCCTTCACATCAGTTTGCAGTGGAGACTCAATACATGAAGGTACATTCAAACCCTTCTTGAAGGTGATGATGGAAGATTTGATTCTAAAGAATATTTCTTGTTATCCTACAGATTTATACTAAATCGGAGTGAACCTAAAAGCATTTTCATTGCATTAAATTTCACCAGATGCAGTGCATGGCCATAAATACAAATATTGTTCTGGAGTCTTTTCAATTTCAACTATAGTGACTATTTGTTGATTTAAAAAAAAGGTTGATGTAATTTCCACAAAACTGCATATTCGGATAGGGGGAAAAATGCACAGACCTCATTTCATTGTGGATCACAAATCTTACTGCATAAACAGTTTACGAGGTACTGTTGCTGCTGCTTAATTTTGAATTGATTAGTAGCTGGATGGGGTGCAGAGATGTTGAATTCTGACCTACTGTTTACATGTCAAGGCAGCTCAGGCTTCGACTGAAAACTCACGTGAATTGTTGAGCTTCCTCCGCACCTCACCAGAGCTTCCTCTGGACTTTTTTCTCGGGGTATTCATCAAACATTGGGACTGGTTTCCACTTGACAGAACCAGTTTGGTTTTGCATGGTGATCATTTTTTCTATCGATCTCTTTGCAAACACTTTGTCTCGTAAATCAACAGGATTTGTGTTTCCGTATCAAATGTATACAAAACCATTTCATCTTATTGGACTCTTGAGCGGTTTCTTGTAAGAAAATACCTCGCTAGGAATTAGATTAACAGACTGGCATTTCATCTTGGTATCTGGGTCGAAACCCACCTCTGCTTTGCTAAATGTTTCTCTCTCTAATGGCTATGTAAAGGAAACGAGTTTGACCTACATACATTTGCTGCAGGGCCACATGATGGAACTTTCATAATTAGGCCCAATTCTATTCAAAACTGGTAACTTTGCTCAGAGTGGCTTCAGGTATATCTGGAAAGCAGAACCGTTCCTTACACTGATTCTTTTTGCTACATTTTTGGAGCAGAGAAAGGTTACTCTGGCCCTTGGGAAAGCTTAATCCTGGTTTTGGTTTGACCAAAATGGGAAAGGTTTCAACCAGGGGCTCTCTGCAAATCCACATTGCTCTGGGACACTATCCTATGTCAAGAGCTCTATATAACTGCTGCTGCTGTTGTAGCTGTGAGGCTTAAGGATAGTGAAAAGCACTCAGGGATGCTGCCCTGTGTGAAGGGCAAGTTGTTGTTAAACTCAAAAAATATAACAGCAAAACAAGGAGAAGGCATGACTGGTATAAAATGCATTTCCATCAATTGCTGTTAATACCTTTTGTGGTTTCTCCTTGTGTGTGGAGAATGTTATCTCTACACTAAATGAATTGATTTGTTAGTCATTTGAAAGCAATTTTGGTGAACTTTCAGGCTGCTTTTTTTTCAGCAGAAATCAGACTTGTCTCTTGAGACGTTGCATAACACTCTGGCATTAGTGAAGTGGAGCTGATTATAATCTGATTGAAAAGAAAATCAAGTTGGTAGACGATTAGCTGCTCTCCTGTAATTGCTGAAATACAGTGGCCAGGTTCTACCGCTTTACTTTCAGTGCTGTTCTCTCATTCCATCGTTGATGTTTGAGCCCTCCATACTGTCAAATGCACAGTCATTGACTATTTATGGGACACTGCTGTGTGGAATTGGCTGCCGCGTTTCACCCATAAGATATACATACAGTCCATTCACTTTACAGTATATTTTGTGAAGCGCTTTGAGACATCTCAATGATGTGATTAGGCATTGTAACAAATGCAAGGATAATTATTATTATTAATTAACTGCAACTGTATTGGAGCTCAGGAGAAACTCGGCAAGGTACAGTATTTGCTTCATCGGTACTGCTGTTGTTTGTGATCCCAGCATGGGCTGAGCCATTGAAAACAATTGAACCCAAGATAAATCTGTAGCATTAACCTTCAGGACATTGTTTCAGGTGTCTCGGTTTCCTGCAGCAACAGACCGAACAATGCCAGTTTGTTCTGCAACTGCTGCAAGGAGCAGAGAGTGTAGCAAAAGAGATGGTAGTTGCAAAAACAATTGACCTAATGCACCCCCCACCCCACCCCCACCACCACACACACACTTTCAATATAACAAATGTCTAATTCTCTGCATCGAATTCGCTGGTAGTCTTCTTCATGAGGGATAGTGTACATTAAAGATAGATACTGAATGTGCATTTTGCCTGTTCGTATCTGAGTCCGATAATGACTCGTTGCTGTAAGTCCATCTGATCCTCGTATCCTAGACCTTTCATTGCATAGTGGAAACTTGAATTCATTGTCATGTTCTGCAAAAGATCAAAGAAAAGCCTAAGTGCGATGATCAAAGCGCTCTGTGTTTTCATTTTCTAAGCCTGACAGCATATTCAGCTTGAGGGGCAATTTATAGAGTGGGCTAGTTTTAGAGTTGAAAGCTCTTTCATTTTGTGTTTGTTTCTTTGGGGAAACTACTGAGAACAAAAGCCCAATTTGCAGTAAAATGCAATGGTAATATCTCACCTGGATGAATGAATGACATCTGTACAAACACAGAAGTCGCTGGGAACACTCAGCAGGTCAAGCAGCATCCATGGAGAAAGGAAAGTGAGTCAACGTTTCGGGTCCACAACCCTTCGTCAGAACCCTTCATCTGTTCAGTTGTTTGTTGATTTGGACACAATAAAACCATCTTCAAATGACACTGTTAATTAGAGTTTTGTAGACACAGCGTGGGTATGAACCTCATGTGCTTGCAGTTATTGTGACTTTTGTGTACAGCTGTTTCCTCACATTTTCCCCCATTGAAATCCCCCACCCACACACACACACTCATGCATTGAAAATGAAGTGGGGTGATGTTATTTTAGCATTGTAATTTGTTGCATTGTACACGTTGGCTCCAATAATGAAAATCATATGTAATATCACTGAAAAAAACATGATCTTCAAAACTACTATACTCTTTCAGTTGATGGCACAGAAGTATGGATTTATTCTTTTTTCCCCCCACTTCAGTACTGCATTGTGTTTCATTTTTTGCTCAGTGTCATAAACACGGTCTATAAGCCTTCAATTGACTCACACACCGGATCTGTTATTAGGTCTCAAGTCTTCTAATTTGTATCCCCAGTTGGTGGCAGCCTTTGTTTGGAAAAACAAGTTTGTAGCTATTTTTTGTAACAGTTCTCCCATAGATGGACAGGATCTAACTGTTGAATCTGATGCCAAATATGCCAATCATTGTGTTTGGTGGTTCCCGGTTTCCAGTTTCTT